GAAAGCCTATGAGCTAATTTCGCCGCACTTGCGTTCTCTTCATCCGCGGGCACTTCAGCAGGCGAGATCTGAGATTTCTCATGACATACTTTGTCTTCAGATAGGAACGGTAGGGGCGGTAAGGCCACATTGTTTTCCAACTGCAGCTCCGACGTCAGACCCGCGAGTGATGGACCTGCTTGTACCGATGCCTCTCCAGCTGCGATCTCCGGAGATTTGCTAATCGATGGTTCGCTATGATCACGATTTTTTGAGGGCAAAGGTTCGGAGAGAACGCTAGGCAGTGAGTCGGCCGCCGCATCCCGCAACTGCGCTTGCCATGGCCCTTCGACATCCTCTTGGACACGCGAGAGTGCCTCAGGCGATTTTGGGCTTAGCGAGTCACCCTCAATGATCATGGAAGAATCTGGTAGGGCGGAAGTTGTGAGTTCAGACCTGAATTCCGGCGCCTCATCGGCTTTCAAGTGTGCCGGAGAGTCTCGCACTTCAGGAAGCTCTTCTAGCGGCAATCGCAGAGGTTCGGTAGCAGGTTCAATTTGCATCGCGGAGCCGTCATCGACCTGCTCTTCATTATCCAAACGATCTTTCTGCGTCCGGATTTGGCTTAATGCTTCCAAAGCACTCTGAATAGCTTCTTCATCGTATTCACTACCAGGATTATGCGGCGTTTGTTGTACTTCATCTGAGGTTACATGCAATTTTGGCTGCATCGACACGCCTGTCCGTGGCTTTTGGGAAGCTGTGTCGTCCTGTGAAGAGTTTTCCAGATTTGACTTGTGCACCATGAGGCTATCATGTCTTGAAGAAGCCGGTGCAAGGGTGATCGTTGATGCCTCCGCAGCCTTGTCATCTTCTGAGCCAGAACAAGATTGCAACTCGGAAAGCATGTTACCTTCAGCATCATGGAGGACTGGTATAGGGTAAGTTTCAACAGGTCCCTCTTCGGCAGCCACGTTATCTTGCATCTGAGGGCCGATGTTCAAGCGCTCGGTTTCAGCAACGATGGTGAGGTCATCGATATCCATGAGATCTGGGGCTTCGACATGCTTCTCATCGATCGCTGGCAGGCCAGATTCCACTTTCTCGGTAATATGTGGAAGTATGTTCGTATGCGAAGCCGTCTTTTCGCGTTCCGGGCCAAGCTTGGAGGCTGGCGACGTAGGATGTGTGTGTTCCGCGCTCGTGTTGGATTCTGTGGGAACGATTGCGGTTCCATCAGACAGTGGGGCTTTGCTCGGCTTTTTGACAGGAGTTTCGGGTTGAGTGGTCGGCGAATCTACCTTTTCAGAGAGATTTGGGGCTTCGCGATCGATGGGACCAGCATTCTGACCTTGGTCATCCAAGCATCGAGTATCGGCGACACTGGTAGCTTCAACCTCTTCCTCGCCCTGATTCTTGTTTGACAGCTCACTAGCGTTCACCTCGTTGTCTTTATCGCTCGCCCAATCGAAACTCTCAATATCCTGCAGACCGTCTTCCCAAGTATTCGTATGCGGGCTGTACGCGTAGTAATCCGGTAGGTGTTGCTGGCTTTCGATGCGACCGTCCGTGTGCACGTGTTGCGCTTCGTTCGTGTAACCTAGCTCTCCTAAGGACCAAGGAGCTACCACCTCAGCCTCCAACATCTCGTAACCAACCAACTCTCCAAATAAGTCGGGACCATAGGCGGTACAAGAGGGCAGATTCGGGTCGTCAAAGCGCGCGGAAGGTCCGTCCGGATCGTATTCGAAATCCATTTCGTGGGTGGGGGAGTAGATACGCATATCTGTTGTCTAAGCAAACTGATCCAAAAAAGGCAACCGTGCAAACAGTCTTTTGTTGGCCTGTAGCGTTTTGCTCTTTCGCGCATCCAAAGGCGGCGATTCTTGGTAATTGAGACCGGCGCACGTATCCGCTATTCTTTCATGACCAATTGATACTCGCGTGCACGCGTATCTCTCAAGTGGTGAGGGGATGGGGTTGAGAGCGCGCCGCTGCAGGTTGGTGAAGTAGTTGAGTGTTGGAGCCGTGCGTAGTCGCTGGTTCTAGCTCGCTTCCCAATTAGGCTTTGGTAAGTGAAAGAGTCTTAGCGAACAGTCCTATTCAGGAGCATAAAGGTGACATGTTGTCAAGTAAGTGTTACCGGGATTTGTTGTAGTAATCTGGGCACTGTAGTCTGTTAACAGTAATCTGGGCACTGTAATCTGTGATCTGCGACCTGTAAACCGTAATCTGGTAACAGTAACCTGTAGACGGTAGCCTGTAAACCGTAAACCGTAAACCGTAAACGCGTTCTCACGTGATGTGAACGCGCCTTGTCAGCCCACATACCTAGACAAACGACCTGACATGCTAGTTCACGAATATATTTTTCTCATCGTGAACTTCACCGTAAAAAGCATGGACTCGTGTACGAATATATTATAACGCGTAAAAAGTCCAGTCGCTGGTGGGTATCATGTTCAAGCCGCCAGCTCTTCACCAGTTCTCCAATCCTTGCTCAGCCAAATCTGATAGTGTGTGCGAAATGAAGCGCCAAGAAGGGTCGATCGTATAGGAAGTCGCGGAGGTCTCGTCGAATAAGTCAAGGTTCGTCATATCGGTATCGCATTGCTGATAGCATTGCCCGTGTCCACAGGTAAAGCCAGTACACTGCTGCGATTAGTATCAAGTTCGAGAATGCGGCCAGGAAACTTACGTCTTTCCGGCATCAGTTGCGCAACAGCAGCAGAGAAGCGATGCTGGCCAACAGAAGATCTGGGAAACATGAGCGGATTGTTGCGCGTATGTGGGGTATCTAGGGAAGTCGTACAGCCATGCCGACCGTGACTACGAAGCCAATAGTAGGCCCAATGACCTTGCAATGACATGGGTTCTGATCGCTATTTGTGGGCGTGTGGTTAGCAAAGGCATGAACGTTCAGCTCGCGAATTACCTACGTTCCGCACTGGATGCACAGAGGAAGAGGAACGAAGTCGCACATGTTGTCAAGAGGAGAATGACGGAGACGCTACGAGTGGATTCGCTGGTTTGGAGATACGAGATGCAGTGCTGCAAGTCGCTGAGGGGACGCAGTAGACAATAAAGATGTTGGAAGTAGGAAGGCTGACAGGAAGTCGCGATGCTTGTTGTCGCGCTAGTGTCGTCATCGGGCTTCGATTCGCGATCGCCGGGAGACACGCGTCAGCCGCAATGCGCTTCTTCAATTCGATCCTCTGCATTCACCAACAAGGCTTGCCCTGAACCTGACCTAGCTAATGTAGCTATTTACAAGATGCGTTTTCGCGAACCTGGTTTCGGAGTATGTTCCAGGCCAGTAGATGGCAGCTGTCTGGCACCTGCCAGTCTGCTCGGAGGCCGGAGATGACGACGCAGATTCCTAGTAAACACCGCCTCCTACTACGTGACATAGTCCACTATACTGCTTGTGTCTTCGGTTGAGTTCCACGAGGTCGTTACGAGCGCGCCAAATGAAGGAATACACTCTGAGACGTTGTTTGTCGCGTATTGGGATATTAGGCGGACAGTCGTCAACACGGCAATCAGCCATCAGTCCTCCATCTCTTCCCGTATCAGCTCTACCTCGACAGTCCTTTGGCCCTCTTGGATTTTGCCCTTCAGTCCATCGTTGTATTTGTCGAAGCAGAGTCTCCATAGACCCGGCTCGCCTTCGCTCTCAACGGCGATAAAGCCCTCCCAGTTCTCGAAGGTGTAGCGCTTCTCTCCGTTTGAGCCGACGCGGGCGTCGAAAGGCCCAGCCTGCCCCTCCTCCGCGTCAACGCGTAGTCCATGGCTGAACTGAAAGATGTCGGATTCGGTATCCAGATAGACCCAATTGAGTTGCGGCGGGTTATCTGAGATGGTAGATACGATGCCTTCGTAATCTTTCTTTGGGAAAGGAAGGTAATACCCGGTGAAAGGATGATGCGTCGGTCCTTCGTATGTTGATAGCTGGACGTACAATCTGCCGCCGCATAGTACAATTCGACTGTTCTTGAACAACTCCTTGCGATCTTCCGGCGTTCTCATGGTCGCTCGACATCGCATGTGACATTTCTCGCCTTTCCAGTCGTCGTCCTCTTCCTCAGCCTCTTTCTTTGCGTTTTCCGTTTGACTTTGCAGGGTCAGAACGGATGTGGCGGTCATAGGGACCGTTCCCACGAGAGCCAGGAGGCCGAACACCATTTTTTAAAGTCTATTGATGCAGAGACGGTACGTTGAAATACTTCGAAGGTCGTGTTTAGGTACAAAGTGTGACATGTGCTGACTGGTGAGGTGGCACCCGTGGACATGTGTTGCGTCGGAAGCCCTACATCACGACGCGACAAAAAGCAATAGATCACAATCGCACTTCATGCATCTCGCGTAAAAGCCCATGACGAAAGTCAAGGCGATCATGATGTGGCTGCATGAGCAAAGCTACAAAGCCAATCAAGCAGTAGTGCGCGGCTAACTTCCGGTACCCGCTCCACTTAGTTCCAGATGATCGACAGATCAATAGTGAATGCCGGCGCCAATGACGAACAACAAGCCTCATATGGCTGATCCTTGGAACTCATGAGTTGTGAATCCGCTTTGGGCGAGAGACCATAGCCTTATGGAGGAATCGTAGTCGAGGCTACAGCATTAGTCGGTTGCTTTACCCACCTCCTGCATTAGAGCTGTGAGCAAGCTCGAATCGTAGGCCATGTCGAAGCCAATTCACCACTCATGCTCGTGAGGATCACCTCGCCGACCCGTCGATCGATGATGTACCTGCGGCTGATAGATGCGGGAGCTTCGGACATGTCCGTCCATCACCTCCGATCGAGAAGTTTATGAACCAAGGCTTGCTCGCAAAACCCATCGGAATCTACTCCTCCAAACCCTCCCTATTAACACTTTGAGTTCTGGCGTGGTCAGCACAACTCCCGCATCGCAGGAAAGCGAAGATACCGCATTTGACTATACCTCCACCGCACCCCCAACTCACTCCACCGCAAACACCGGACTCCGAAGTCGCACCAGAATCTGAGTTCAAGATGGCGGACGCGACCAAGAAGTACGCCAGTCACATCCGCGATACCTCTTGTCATGCCATATCTAACATATTCATAGCCTGACCGACACGGCCAACAATGCCACCGGCGGCCGCGACGGCGGACCTGGTGAGACAATTGGGAAACTAGGCAACACAGCCACCAGCGCTGTGGCACCAAAGAACAAGAACAAGAAGAAGAAAGGTGGCAATGGCAACAACGAAGAGGAAGACGAAGAGACCACTGAGGGTTTCGGTCTTGACAACGGATCTGATGTGAAGGGTAGCTTGAAGGTGCACATCAAGTTAGACCTAGAAGCAGATATCAAGGTCTATGCGAGGATCAGGGGAGATATCGCGATCGGTATCTTGTAAGATAGAGTGGCGCCAAAATCCGAATAGCACATCGTGTGTCAAGTTCTGGGTCGTGACAGTCAGACATTGATCTTTTTCTCGAGTCCTAATCGCAAGTAATTCGACATGTTTATTACTTCATATCATGTGCCCAAGCTATTGGAAAGGCGACACAAGTGAATTCGTGATGCTGAGTTGCTGAAGGGCGTACTCTCTGGATGTAAGATGGATGCCCCGATCTACTTACTCGACCTTTCCTGCCTCGGCTAGAAGCACTGGACCCTGAACGTCAGGCTGCATACCAAAAATATGCTGAGAGTCATCCACCATGTCGCCAAACAATGCGCCGGCCGCTACCCCACGCCTTTCCAGAGTTCCAACAGTCGCTACATCGATTATTCTGCTCACGGCGCGACTTCCACAAGCTCTCGAGGGTTCCGCGACGCGTACAAGTGCGACAAGCGTATGGGAAGAAAGGCAACATGGCGGGGTATGAAGACTGGTCGCAACAGCAATTGATTGCGAGAATACAAGAATTAGAGAAGCAAGTCGGAGGGAATACTCAAGGCGCGACTGAAGAGCAGTCCCCGGTGCCTACGAACGAACAGACATCACCACCTCCAGACTCGCCAAAGTCATTAGCCTTTCGCAGAGCCAACAAGCCGCCACCGAAGGCGTTCGATGCCTCGAGATACAGCACGCGGTTGATCGCACTGAAATTTGCATATCTGGGGCAAAAGTACAATGGATTTGAGCATCACAATAACAACACCACGCCATTACCTACAATCGAGGAAGAAGTCTGGAAGGCGCTGATCAAGACGCGGTTGATAAGTCCTATACCTACGGAAGGTGACGAGAGAAGATATGAAAGAATCGATAGAAAGACCTTTGCAAAATGGGATAGGGAAGGTGCGGATGTAAACTGGGATGGCTGCGAATACTCCAAGTGTGGAAGAACAGATCGGGGTGTCAGTGCTTTTGGGCAGGTCATTGGTGTGAGAGTCAGGAGTAACAAGCCCAAACCTGTAGAAGAAGTGGACGGAGAGAAGGAAGTGGACAAAGAAGAATCATTGCCTTCTTCAAACGATACCCAGACCATCCCATCAAAGCCGTTCAACGATCTCACCGACGAACTACCATACATCCAGCTTCTAAACCGCGTCCTTCCTCCCGACATTCGCGTTTACGCGTGGTGCCCCAACCCACCAGAAAACTTTAGTGCACGCTTCTCCTGCAAAGAACGACGGTACAAGTACTTCTTCACAAACCCTTGTTTCGCGCCCGTACCCGGATCCTCTGGTCTATACAAACCCAGCGCATATGGCGCCACCACGGCAGATGACCAGGAAACCATGCGCGAAGGCTGGCTCGACATCGACGCCATGCGAAAAGGATGCAAAGAGCTAATCGGCCTCCACGACTTCCGCAACTTCTGCAAAATCGATGCGAGCAAACAGCTAACAAATTTCCAACGGCGAATCTACCACGCTGACATCGAGGAGGTTTCTCCACTATCTCTCCCAGGCTTCCTTTCACATCCCGCTCTTTCCGCGCCATCTCTGTCAAAGAATGGAGAGCAACCAAAACTGTACTCCTTCACCCTCCATGGCTCCGCATTCCTCTGGCATCAAGTCCGATCTCTAGTCTCGATCCTCTTCCTCATCGGCCAAGGTCTCGAATCGCCCTCGCTGGTCTCCCAACTCCTCGACATCACCGCCAACCCCACACGACCCAAGTACGAAATGGCATCCGACGCCCCACTCGTCCTCTGGGACTGCATCTTTCCACACGCCTCCGAAGTGCAAACCTCTGAAGAACGCGAACGAGGCTACGAAGACCGCCTAGAATGGGTATACATCGGCGATGAAGGCGGCAGCGAGCCCAAAGCCAGGGGAACAGGCAAAGGCGGCGGTCCCAGCACGATCGGCCGCGGGAAATGGGGTCGCGGCGGCGTGATCGACGATGTCTGGGAGATGTGGCGGGGGAACAAGGTCGATGAGACGCTTTCGGCGCTTTTGCTTGATAAGATTGCGGGCTTAGGGCAGTCGACGCTGGATGCTGAGGTACCCGTTGAGCAGCAGAGTATTGGGATAGCGAGGGGCGGACCGCGGTTGTTTGATGGAGGGGATATCGGGAAGGCGAAGGGGAATTATACGCCGCTGCTGCAGAGGGAGAGGCAGGAATCTGTTGAGGTGGTTAATGAGCGGTATAGAGTGAGGAGGGGTATTGATGCTCGTGTTAAAACGACGGACGATGACGGGGATGAGTAAATTACTGAAGGCGTGAGATAGAATCGGGTTTACTCGTTCGTCACGACATTACAATCGAAATATGCCTGATCGAGCAAAAGAGAAACTTCATTTGGGTATCATGATTTGTTGCTGCATCTTCCAATCTTTGGCCACGGTAATCCATCCTTCGATCCCCCTTCGCCTTTTTTCACCTTGACCCCAGTATCCCAAAGTCCACCATCCCCCATCTAATCCCCAGTATTCAACTCCAAATCGATCTGCACGCCATTGCTAATAGCATAATCCTCACAGGTCAAATTGTCATGAAACGGCCTCTCCCCCTGTCTCTTGAGCATAATCTCATGCACCGGTCTACCGATCTTCGCTGCCACCATGGCTTTCAGCAGCTTGATAGGGTCGCTGGGCAGACACGGGACTTGTGTTTTCGTTCCCAGACGGTCATTGATAGTGACGAGGATCATGTGCTCAGAAGGTGCTGCAGGAGCGGCTGCGGGTTTCTTCTCTTTGGGTTTGCCGTCGCGGTCGCTGTCTCGTGGTTTGCGGTCGCGAGAGCGGGAACGGCGGCGCCGGTCGCGGCTTCCGTCTCGTCTGCGCTCGCGGGAGTTGTCTCGAGGACGGCGGTCGCGTTCTCTGGAGCCATCGCGTCGGCGATCGCGATCGCGGTCTGAGTCTCGTGGTCGTCGCTCTCGGTCGCGATCGTCGCGTCGTCTGTCTGGGTCGCGGCGGTCGCGGTCGCCTTTGTACCTTAGGCCGCTGAAGTTTTTGGGCTTGCGCGGACCGGGGGATCTTCGTGGGGAGCGAGAGCGGGAGCGCTCTGTTTTTGAGGACTCCATCGCTGGTGATATGTGTATGGGATGTGTGTTGTGTTGGTGGAGAGGGAAGAGCAAGTGCAGGTCAGGCAGCTTCGCCGAAAACGTGAGCTCGGCATTGCGCTTATCGATAAGGAAGCTAGCAAGGAGCGCGTCATCCCGTCCCGCGAGGCTTCCTTTCACCCCCACATCCCGCCGTCTGTACTTGTTCCCGTCTAGCGATGCCTCCTTCAATTCGAGTATGATGTTGAAGCTTATTGACCGCTTCAACTCTCCGCCGGCGCAGACGCTGCAAGTACTGCAGCCTACATCGTCGACCATCACATACACGGTCTCGACGCGTTCTGTACCCAGGACCCTTCCCGCTTTGGTAGCATACTATGCAGGGATACTGACGAGAGCGCTGCTGGGTATAACTAGCGTCCTGTTATTATGGATGAAATGGCGCGTCACACAAGCTCAGTCTCTGGATCTGTCGCTGGGTGTATTGAGCCATGAGACAGAAAGGCAACTAGTAAAGCTGGCGGAAGCCTGCCAATGGCGATATCTGGTACCCAGTACATTGCTCATACTCTTCCTAGTCTTCCGCCGAAACTATACAGGTACTTTCTTCGCCGTCTTCTCAGCCTCCCCTAAACCCAAGCTAATACAGATCATAGAAGAATCACTCACCGTACTCCGCGGCCTCGGTGTCCAGACCTCGACCACCTCCTCTACGTATCTCCAGACACCTACTACGCGCTTCATACCGACTACAAGTATACAGGACGTCTTCATACACGAGGCGTTCAAGGGCTTCGAAGTGAGGTTCTTTCTCATGATCGTAGTGGAAGGAGAAGGAGAGGTGGTGGTCGTCTTTCCGAGACTGCTACCGAGAAGGGCGACACTGGAGACTGTTTGGCGGGGCGTCAGGGGTGGGTTATGGGAAGATAGCGTCAGAGCGCCGACAGAGAAGGCAGGGCCGTGAAGAGAGCGGAGACTGTAGAAATGCGATATCATTTTGCGTTTGCGGTGCGCATAACAATGGCGGAATGACCATGACTTTATCCATGTCCCACATAACATCTGACGAGAAGTCTAAGTAAGCCTTCTCAGAGATATCGTGATAATGAAGTCGTACCTTCAAATTCGCTGCGTTACGACTTCCTACACACGGCTCCTCCATGTCTCCTGAACTCGGAGCAGGAACCGCGCCCAATCTCTTCCATACTGGTATCAATCTCCTACTGGTGTCCAAATCCCAAATACGCCATGAATCCAACCTGGTGCCCCCATCGTGAGCTTCCCCTCAATATCTGTACCTCGTAGAATAATCCTTCGGACTAACCACCAAACCCCGCCCCTTCTTCGCGCCCCGATAAACCGTCTCAATAATATCAATAAACTCCTGCTTATCCTCCAACACCCAATTCAGCTTGTTATTATTTCCTGTCCCGAAATCGCACATCATGTGTTTATTGCGGAAGAAGAACATGACGGTACATGGGTCGTAGAGCTCGTACATGGCTTTGAAGTCGGGGACTTCGTCGAGGTCGCAGAGGTAGATGGCGCAGAAGTTTTTAACGCGGTCGGCGATCTTGTAGAGGACTTCGTCTTGTTGCATGCAGTCTGGGTCTGAGTCGCGCCCGAAGCGGATGAGGACTAGGCGGTCTTCTTCGCTGAGGATCGCTTGGTCGACGTGCCAGCCTGTGCGGAGGTGGGGGAGGACTACGGAGCCCATGGTGGGTGGACACGCGTGTGGAGCTGAGCTTGGAGTTGGAGGTGTGCGACCGTAGAAGATGGGTGGCCGAGCTGGTCGACGGCGAAGGCGGGCACGTTAGACTGGATACGGTGAGTCGATATGTGGTTTGCGCGATCGTGCGATAAAAATGTGTAGCGCGTTGGAACGTCCGTATAATTATGTTTGCGCGATCCTTCAAGGTATGGGAGGGTTGAAAGAAAGTTAGTCGCGCCAGGCAGCTACCGCCCGTGATCTAGAAAGTTCCCGAGGTCGCCCCACTGGACTTCGACCTTAACACTCTGATACCTCTTACAATCTTTTCACTTATTCCTTCGTGTAACACTTAACGCATAAGGCGCGATAAACTCCCTTCATTCCGATAAACGTAAACAATACATGGTAGCGGAATTCGGCTTGTGTGTAGCTCGATTGGCTCCATAGACTCACCTCCCGTGCATGCAACCACTCTGCCTTGCCACCTGGGCAGACGTCGACGACAGCTGTATTGGCCTATAGAGCCATATCAGGCAGGTTCCCCGCATACTTTACTTGATCAGTACCACGGAGCACGTCCATAAAGCGTCTGGGTTCTTGTTAAAGGCGCTACATCTGTCCTCCTGTCCTTGGCTGTATTTGCTTTTGTTGCAGCCTTCTCAAGTTTGTGTAACGTTCGTTTGCGCTTTGTAGCTGACCGCCTCTCCTATAAAATTGATCTAATCCACATCTGCTGCTACCATGCGGGCACGTCGGCTGATGTACCAGCCGCCTGGGTGATGGCAAGAGGTATAGCATGAACAAGCTGCAGGCTGCCCGCATCCCGCTCGAGTCCCCCGGGAACCAATAGCATGTCTGCTGTGTGTGGGTACACTTTCGTAAGAACAGACTAGCAAAGAGGTCTAGTCCAGTCACAGGTAACCTACTCGACTCCCCTGCGATGGGTGTGGGCAAAAAGTGCGCGGGACGGAGCGCGCGGGATCGGGAGTACCCATGGACATGGCCGGTAGGATTCAACTTTGATGCAGGACCACGCATCCTCTCGACGCGTTTGTTGCAGCTCTATTAAAATACGGAAAGTTGCGAATCGTTGAGTACAACATTCACAGACTCTGTGCTACGGAAACATTCAAGCTGTTCTCGGGAAAGTCTACCACTGTCACACGCCACCATCTCACATCGATCGGGAAGGTCTTGGTCGGACCCAAATGCCATTTTTGTGATAGATTCGGGTGTTTCCGTATGTCTGTTTGTGCATGTGGGTGCTAATATACGTGTAGGCTTCGCCAGGGTGATGCTGCAGCGCACCTATTGCATTAGCGAACAGCCAGAGTGAAGCATCATCGGTCTACTTCATCAGCGCACATCATGAGGACGTTGCCTTAACAGACACGGAGAAAGAAACTGGTTCGAGCAAAGCCGATTATGGGGGTTCTTCCTGCGAAAATCTGTTTACAGAGTTCGTCATGCCTGAGTGAGCCTACTGCGTCGTCGCGCCGAACGACATACACCACGTCAATTGTTACGGTACTGCGAGTCGGACCGATATCATACTCAGCACCCGCTCACGCATACTGCAGAGGAGAACTCTGTCATTCGACCAGCCAGTGGGTGTGCCACCTATTCGATGTGCCAGAGGTAAATCCGCGACAAGAGTCTGAGGCTAGGAGCCCTTCTCCATGCTTGTTATGTGGACGGAAACTCTGGCTCAGCAGATTTTATCCGCCTATTCCGTTGTTCGCGTACTCGATGTGTCTTTCAGATGATGGTGATGGGCGTCTGCTTGATTGTCTCGCCACGGCAAAACTTGACTGCTCTAATCCGCACTGGGTCGATGTCCTGCACCGCTTCCCCTTACCCCATTCACGATTATCGTGCGATACAACTAGCCCTTACTAGAAAATAGATCAAGACAATTGAGATGGTGTCGAGCAACACTAGTTGGTGGCAAAGAGAAGCATCTGCATGCAGATCAGACACCAACCAAAGACGTTGTTAGCAGTCCATCACATAGGGCTCAGAGTACTATAGATGACTCAGCTGAGTAGGTCTGGTAAGTTCTATCATAGGCCCAAATCTTTCTTTGTTTTTCAGGCTTCCGGCTCCAAGGGACACATCTGGCAGCCGAGATCTCTCAAGCTGCGCTGCAGCCAAGATTATTGATCACTTTCTGCAGAAAGTATGAGACGAAGGGACTTGCTTTTGTTGCTCTGGAAGTCTACATAAGACCTCCAGTGCTCACTGAAAGCTTCAATACCATCAGCATCGCATCTTCCTCATCATAATCAGACTAACACTCTTTTCGACCATTCATAATTTCTCAAACATATCACAATGTCCGACTACACCGGCCCCGGACTGTACGAAATCCTGCCCAGATATGCTCCGGAGATGAGCTTGAACGTCTGGGGCGCAGCAACGAAAGAAGGCACGCAAGTGAAGCTATAGTAAGTTACTCGAACGGTCAGAGAGAGAGCATGTTGACTAACCTCATGCAGCCAGAGAACCAAAAGCGCCAACAACACTCATTTTGAGATCGTAGCAGCAGGGGGCACAGACGCCAAGCCCGAAAAAGGCGATCGTGAATACCACATCATCGCCGCCTGCTCTGGCCTCTATCTGACGTCGGCCGGTAAGTCGAAACCAGACTGACATGTATGTTCTCCTCACATGGCTAACCTACCTAGGGCCAAAAGCTGGTTACATCAAGACGGAGCTTCGCAAGCCGCTCGACAGCACCATCCGTTGGAAGATCGTACACTGCGGAAACGGTTCTTACCGGTAAGTGGCTCCGTACAGCCCCACTTGGCCTTGAGTTCGCTTTCTGACGCGCGTGTGCATGTGTTAGTATCAACAATGTCGATGGGAAGACGCAGCTCAATGTCGCTGGTGGTGGCAAGACCAGCGGCACCGACATGATTGGTTGGCAATTTTCTGACGGCTCTGAGAACACGGAGTTCCGTCTCATGGCTGTTTAACTGATACGGGGGAGACTCGAGTTTATTGTCTTGTGTTGAACAGGATTGTAGAATCTGTCGCTCACTTACAAAGTCCATTCAATCAACAGGCTGATATGCTTCCGAATGATTGTGATGGGTGATGAGGCTTGTGCTTTCAGTGAGACGACGCTAACAGCTCACTCATCAGTCCCTTATTACCTCTGCCTAGGTTAGTATCGATGCATGTTAGAAGTATGTCTTGGCCACTGCGCACTTGTTGACAGCTGACTTCATGTGAGGTTCAGCAACTTTCACGGTCTCTTCCTCATATCAGACAAACGTTGCTTTCCTTGGTTGTTACATGTAAAATATATCGATACACTAGACTATTTTCCCATGGAAGGGACTACAAAGTGTACCTGTAGAAAGGACTCTTGTCACCCATGAGCAACAACTCCTGCTCGGAGTATCTCGCGCGAATAGCCTCCTCTCCGTGCTCAGCAATCAGCTCATCCCTCTTACGGTTCTCCTTTGCATACGCCCACCTCAATACCAAAGTCATGAGGATCGCGGTGCAGCACATGGCCAAACTAGCCGAGAAACCTGTCGTGTACTTTGGTGCTTCGCGTGCCAGATACACGTTGCTGCCCATGATTCCACCCATGTTTCCAACGGAGATAAGCAGAGCCATGCCAACAGCGCGTTTTGACGATGGGGCGAGAGAGTTGCCGATCCAGGAGACGAGACATGTGAAGGGGCAGTAGAGACCACCGGCAACGGGGAAGAGGAAACCGTAGGTGATGCCAGGGTATTTGGGCTTGGGGATAGCAAGCTGAGCGATGAAGCCGCACACAGCGATCGAGTAGCCTGCAATGATGTATGGGGAGCGCTTGCGCGTCAGATCGGAGGCCCACGCAAAGATGAGGGTAAGAATAGCGGCGAATACGTAGATGGGGATCGTGAGGAGCTGAGCGTTGGCACTGGTATATCCGAGTCCTTGAATAACAGAGGGCACGGTCGCGGTGAATCTGTATGAAACTGTTAGAGATGAAACCGCAGCAAAGCTGGATATCTTCAGCTTACCCATAAACACCAACAGTGTTTCCCCAGAAAATGACCGTAGCAGCCCAGATCTTCCAGTCGGAAAGACCAGCAAGAATCTGTTCTTTTCCGATCTTGTCGCTGTTGGTGGCTTGTCCCTGGCCAGACCCGGAGTCGTTGGCCAATCGGGAAACAAGCAAGTCGCGCTCCGGTTGTGTCAGAAACTTCGCGGTCTCTGGACTATCGGGGAGAATCTTCCAGATGATGAGCGCGAGCGCTACTGGAATCAATCCCTCTATGAGAAAGATCCATTGCCATCCTGCGAGTCCAGAGCGTCCATCAAGTTGTTCGATACCGTAGGCGAGGAGACCACTGAAAGCACCAGCGAGGGAGGCGGCTACGTAGAAGACAGCCATGCGGCGCTGAAGTTCGAAACGACGGTACCAGAGAGTAAGCAAGAATGTTGCTGCTGGAAAGAAGCCAGACTGCGAATGTAAGCAAGTGTTCTCCATCTTGAACCAAGATGCTGGGGACCTACCTCTGTTACACCCAAGAAGAATCTTCCAGCGAGCAGACCACCATAACTGGACGTGAGTCCCATCAATGTCATGACGAGACCCCAGCAGAACATGAGGATCGCCATCCAATGACTTGGTCGCATCATCTTGAGCACGATGTTGCTGGGTACTTCGAGAATTGTGTACGGAACGAAGAATAGAGTAACGGCAGTGTTGTACTGAATACCGTTCATCTTGAGGTCATCCGTCATACCAGCAATCTTCGCGTTACCGACTACAGCACGTTAGCAATTCGTTCCAATGCATCTCTCAGAAATGAATATGTCCAAACGTACTGTTACTCCGATCGATAAACGCAACAAGATAGAGGAGCGAAAGCATAGGGACAAGTCTCATGTCAACTTTCCTCAAAACGCGCGCTGCCTCCTTCTCCTCCAGTTCGACATTTTGCGCTTCAAGCTCGCCAGTTCCGGAGGAGTTTGAGATCTTCTCCGCCACATTCTCAGCCCGCTGGTGCTCAGTAGAGAGCTTGCCGTGATCGAACGTTGTCGCCATCGTGTGAATATTGCACCGCGTCTGCTTCAATGCAAAGGCGGGTGAGGAGGCTGGCAGGGCAATGCACGAATGCTTCCCCATGGGCAACCCCTACCCTTTAAAGCATCTCGGTAGAATGCAAAGCCCGACATCATCCATCTCAACGGCATACCTTCTTCGGCAGCGTTACCCACTTACATGCATGCCTTGCCTCCCGTCAGCGCAATCGAGCCTCTTGTGTGGAGGCGGGTAGAAAGCATCTTGGCTTCTGGGGTAGCAAGCGGCGCTTTTGCGGGGTAGTCTGGAGGGATCATCATGCGCGGCGTCGGCACGTGCTGCACGATCTGCATGTCGCTGTGACGTATGGTTCGACCATCTGTCAAACGGCACCGCGTTTACTGGAGATGTGCAGGGGCGCATTTGCCGATCTCAGAAGCCGCGGTGTCGGTGTGGCCTGGTTGAAGGGCCGGTGGTGGTTTTCGATGCGAGGTGCGTGCTGGGCGGTTGTCGGATGGGTGCCGTCGGCGATAGACCGAGGAAAAAGAAAGTCCGGTCGGTGGCAGCACCGCTTGCAATGGGCTTCTTGAGCTTACACTTGATGACAGCATCGCCTTGCTACGAAGACGTACGTCTTCTCATGTCTCTTTTGAGACCATATGAGTTAGGTTCGCGATGACTGTCTAACGTTTGGTGCCAGCCTTGGTGGTGCTGTTCTTATCAGAAGAGCCGTGGATGAATATAGGAAGTCTCGCCGAGGACGTGTTACCCGTAAACCTTCACAGCACAGACACCATTCCCCAGCCTCGCTCCACAGTTGCCGTCACTTTTGCTCTTCGACTAGGGAATACAACTCTATTGTGGTCTCCGACGATGAAATATCGTACGAAGTTTCGCGCCCAGTATTGAACCTCAAAATGTTGTATCCATTACAATGACCATGGTATATAATCCCGAGGTCTTGCAGACAAACTCCTATCCTGGCTATTGGCCATTCCCGAAATCGCCTAAACGCCGTCTAATGCTCCCAAATCTCCTTCTCCCATGTCCAACAGCTCTCAAATCGAGCTAGGATACATCATAACCCGAAGACTCGCACCAAATGACTTTGGCGGGAGGTTGTTCTGGAAAGATGCGCGAACAACACCAGAGTTGCCTGTTCTTGAATCAATATCTTTTCTTTCGCAAGTCTGACAAGCTGTACGAACCATGTGTCCTGTGGATCTTGCCCCAGATCACACGAGGACCTTCTTCTTTGCTGCTGGCAACGCGGTAGACATATGCGACGCGCTTGCCGAGATACCACTGCGCGTCTTGCGTGCTGTCGACGCCTTCAAGCGCGAGGAGGCTCACGTTGGGGTTTGTGTTGCGTTTGCCGCGCTGGTAGCTGACATGGCGGGCTTTGACGTATACTGCACAAACTATTACTACCTGCACAGCGGCGTGAAACTGCTGCTACTTACGACGGTGGCTCTTTTCTGAAGACATCGCGATTTTTACAATTGTTTGTTTATCGTCGGAAGGTGAGTTTTGGTCGATTGGTGTGCGCTCGGTAGACTGCTTACCTAACATATATGGGTCTTCGAAGTTCAGACGGCGTGTGGTAATAATGTAGGCACCTACTGCTGCGATCGACGGCTGACGGTTAGTTGCCTAATCCGGACTATCGTCACAGACAGAGCGCAGCAACATCTAACCTCCCCGCTGAGTTCAGACTACAGCGACCACGAATGTAACGACTTTGACAGCTTTGATGTCAATTCGAGATCGCGAATACCTTAAGTACTTTCGACTCCTTCCTGCCGCCTGTTGTCAACTCACATCATCACATCATCCTGGCTTCATCATTTCACGGGTGTCAATATTCAGGAATGTACGTTTCTCGGTCGATATTAAAGCTATTCAAACAAGCAACTATTGAGACAAGAAACCAACGCAACTACCAGGCTAAATCGTGCGCCTAGTGTTCGACCATACAGCGGCCGAGGGGTATACAGCTTTCGTCAATCATCCGTGTTTATGCCCCTGGAGAACGCCAACAAGAAATGCATCTTCCAACCCACGAGAGGTCGTATACTTGCGAAAACCAACGCACAGCTATGCAAACACGAGAGAAAAAGCAATACAATAAACAAGAATGCCCACAGGCAAGGAATTTGATTCCGGCCGATCAATTTCGATTCGTGTGCAGGTGAGGAACGCCGAAACAATGCAGTATAAACATTTTTTTACGAGGAGGTAGGGCTTGGCTCCTCCTCATCTGACTCGTAGGTGAGGGTGGGCGCTTGCCATTCGACATTGAACTTCTGCTGATACTCGTGGCTGTTGATGATCTCTTCGAATTCAGCTTGACATTCGTCATCAAGTTCGATAATCTCCGCTCCTGGCATGTCGTCAAACATGGACGATGCAGAAGTTGCCATTTGTGCAGGAGTAGCAGCAAGAAGTGACACGTTGCCAGCTTCCGATAGAATGCTTGGTGATGGGTAGGTTGCCTCGCGGAGACGGGAAGGCTTAGCAGGTGTGTGCTTCATAAGTCTCTGGCGCTGGCGCTCAATCTCATCTCCAGGCTGCTGGCGGGTAGGGGTTGGGGGCGCTTCGGGCACATCAGACGCTTCATCCGTAGATCCGCCTGGCAGGGGAGCATGCGCAGGAACGGGGGCTGGTGGGGGTGGTTGGGTCCAGATAGGAGTAGCTTCAGCGTCAGCGCTCTCGCTGCCCATTGTAGAGTCTTCTTCATCAGAATCATCATCGGGGACGCTGAAAGAGCCCATGCCTGGGTTATGGGAGTGGGTGTTCTCCTTGGTTGCGCTTTTCAGGACCTCACGATCGTTCTCACGGATCTGTGCCGCGGTGTCGTGTCCTTGTAGTTCGCTAAAGATGTTACCGCCAGTGTTGTGCGAGATGGAGTTGCTGAACATGGGTGATGGGTCGATTGAGCGACGAGGATGGAAGTCACGGAGTGAAGCGGACTGGCCATGGCTGTTGTAAAGCTTTGGTGAAGTGCGCGCGCCGTTGCTGGCGGCGAACTGCTCGTCGATGGTAGGAACTTCGTCGTCGCCCGTGGTGAATTCGTGAGTCTTCTTGTGCTTCTTAGCGGTGTGCTCTTCTTCTTCAGCCACGATATCGAGATAGACAGCCCAGACTGGTACAACATCGTCATCATCCAGATCACCAAGCGGGTCGCCGAAGCCAGTCTCCCAAGGCTTAGCTGAGGGGAAATTCGACAGCTCCTTGCACAGAACGTCCTTCTGGAGACGCGCACGCTTCTCGCTAAAAGCAGGATCGTTCTTCAATTCAGGAATGACCTGCTTGGCCCACTCCTCTGCCTTGTGCCTGTCCTTGCGGTCGACGCCCTTGAGCAGTAGTTTCAGCAGTGTGTTCATGGGCGCACGCCTCTTGTTTGGTGTCTTGACGCGCTCGCCAACAGGTGTAGGAGGGAGGGAGAGGGTCTCGGTGATTGTGTTCTGGGGTGGTAGAGGCTTCGTAACGGTGGGCGATGCGACTTCGGGGGTTGGCGGGGGCTTGGGGGTCGAGGAGAAAAGTCGGGATTTGATGGCAGAGAATGACCTGCTGAAGATGTTGGATGGTGTTGCGACGGGGCGGTTGGGCGTTGCTGTGACATCCTCGAAGGTTCTCTTAGCAGACGGCTGTTGTGGTGAAGGTTCCATGGCGACGTCATTGTCTGAGAATGTTTCACTGTCATTGCTTGAGGGCTCAACGCGCCTGGTCTCTTTGGCAGAGCTCTCGATCTTGTGGAGGAGCGCAAGGGCTTCCTCGTTGCCATTCACAAACACACCATGTGCCGGAGATGACTCGCTGATTGCTACTAGTTCACTGTCGAATTCTGCGTAACTGACGTTAGCCGGAGTACCGTAGCTAATGTGTGGAATATTCTCTAGTCGCGTGATTTCCATGCGCAGACGCAGGTTCTCGTTCTCGTAGAGGAACATCTGCTGATCTTTCTGCCACATCATCTCTACGAGATTCTGGATGCGAGCCTCCTGGTTTGTGACACGCTCGCGGAGATGATCAATCTCCCTCTCTTGGTGTTCGTACTTCTCCTTGCGGAGCTCGTTGTCGATTTCTTCCTCTGAAGGGGTGTAACTATGGGGAAGTTGGTGCTTACTTTTTGTGAAGAAGGCGCCCATGCCATCTTCATTCTCGGCTTCTGCGTCGTCTTCGGCGCTCTCGATGGCCTTAGCCGCGGCCAGCTTTGCGGCCACTGCCTTTCGTTTCTCACTGGTGACTTTCTGGCGGGTTGTGCCGCGTCCTTGCTTGGCGGGCTTCGTCTGTTCCAGGCTGCGCTGCGGCGAAGCCTCTACGCCTGCCTCTTTCAGCGCCTGGCGACCGGCTCTGGTGAGCTTCTTGACGACAACAGGCGCTTGCGTCGCGGTTTTGGTTGTTGATGATGTGGTGGTTGTTGTGGTGACGGCGGAAGCGGCGTTTGCGCGTGACGTAGCGCGACCCTTAGTGACGGTCTGCTGCGACTCTGTCACGGTCTGCGACTCGACTTTGGCGGCGGCAGCCTTGGGCTTGCGACCGGGCTTCTTCTTGGGGGCAGTCTCGGGCGCAGGCGACGCCGACTGTGAGCTTTGCCTGGAGGCGGGCTGCGAGGACTCGGTGGCCGCTGTCGCTGCAGTGCGACGCGTTGAGCGCCGTGTAGTAGCTGACATGGTACTGCGAGCGCGGTCAGTAGGAGCGGTGCGCAACAGTAGTGGGGACGTACGAGGCAGTTGCGATGCAATTGCCAGTAAGCAGTGAATGATCTGATGACAGATGCAGCTGCGAAGGTGTGTTGGGATGGTTGCGTTGTCGGGGTGCGTTGGCAAGGGAAGTTGCGATGGAGTTAAGAAAGTTGTACATGCACCTCCGGCCATTGGGGCTAGCGCGTAAACACCCCAGCACCATCGAGGCAGGCGCGACACGGGCCACGCCTTGGCATGACGACCAAGCTGGAGCTCTTTGCCTGCGACGATTGACAGCAGCCAGCATCAGCATCATGGAGGGCCTTTACTACAACGTCAAATACGGGTATGATACACGCGTTTGCCGTCGCTTCATTCATATCTGACGTCTCTCTACAGTTACATCGAGGGCATCGTGCGCGGTTACCGCAATGCACTGCTCACCAGCCAGAACTACAGCAACTTGACCCAGTGCGAAACCATCGACGGTACATCGCATCCCGTCGCTACTGCCTCTGGAACCGCTCTAACGATGCTACAGATGTCAAGCTGCAGCTCTCGCCCGCGTACGGTGACTTCCTCAACAACTTGCCCCCGAACCCGTCCACGTCTGCGCTCGCCGCGAAGACCACCGACAAGCTCGTGGCCGAGTTTCGCTATCTCCAGGCCAACGCCACCGGCTCGCTCTCCAAGTTCATGGAATATCTGACGTACGGATACATGATCGACAATGTCGCGCTGCTGATTACGGGTACCCTGCACGAGAGAGATACGCGCGAGTTGCTGGAAAGGTGTCACCCGCTCGGCTGGTTCGAGACCATGCCGGTGCTGTGCGTGGCGACCAACATTGAGGAACTATACAACTCCGTCCTGATTGAGACGCCGCTCGCGCCCTACTTCAAGGGCTCGCTCAGCCACCAGGATCTCGACGAACTCAACATTGAGATTATCCGCAACACCCTGTACAAGAACTACCTCGAGGACTTCCATCAGTGGATCAACTCTTGCCCAGACATTGCCGGAACACCGACTGCAGATGTTATGTCGGAGGTTTTGGAGTTCGAGGCCGACCGCAGGAGCATCAACATCTCCCTCAACTCATTCGGTACCGAGCTGTCCAAGGCAGACAGGAAGAAGCTTTACCCGGGCTTCGGAAAGCTGTACCCAGAGGGAACCACAATGCTCTCGAGAGCGGACGACGTAGAGGGTGTGCGAATCGCTGTTGAGAGTGTTGCCGACTACAAAATGTTCTTTGACCAGACCGGCCTCAGTGGAGGTGGCGGTGGTGTCGGCAACATGGCCGGTGGTGTCGGTGGCGAGACGAGGAGTCTCGAGGATCTCTTTTACCAGAAAGAAATGGAGATCTCGAAGCTTGCATTCACTCACCAGTTCACTCACGCCATTGTGTACGCATGGGTGAAGCTGCGCGAGCAGGTACGTTGTGATTCCATCCTGAAGAAAACGTAGTGACTGACATGACACGCAGGAAATCCGGAACATTACATGGATAGCCGAGTGCATCGCGCAGAACCAAAAGGAGCGCATTGGTAACTACATCAGCGTCTTCTGAGTGCGCGCATCATTGTAGTAATAGCATGTTTGGGTCCAACTATGGAATGGCTTGGGTGGCGTTAGGGTGCGATCCGTATATCCAACTTTGTTAGATTGTACATCTCTGCATGTGTGTTCTTCGTCTCTATCTCATCTCCTGTTGGGTGTCGACACGTCCAGCCATGCTTTCGACGTCCCAATTCCGCCTTTGACCGTTATCACTACGGCTGTCAACCTGCTGTGACTCAT